ACGAAAATGTAGAAAAAAGTGCAAACCGTCGAGTCTGACTGCCACGCGGGCACTCTTTCGATGTCCTGGAGCTAGATATAATAATAAATACTGGAATTTCTATCTGAGAAACGTTACTAAGTCGTAAAAAAATCAGCCCATCTATATCAACGAAAGGGGACATCTAAAGCAACCCCACATGAAAACAGTCCTGAGCTGTGAGCTGGCGATAAAGGTCTCCTAGTTAGAATTGGCGACCAGGAAGGTTTTATTTTGTGTTTCGTGGAATTGGCAAGGAATTGCGCTACTCCTACATATATACGGCTAAACTCTTCATTCGGAGCTGTATTGTAAGCAATCGGACCGCCTGAGGGAACCAATTGCACTTTGGTCAAAAGTAGGGCAATGTATTTCATCAGGACAACACCAGACGGCACGCATCGATAGTGACTTGGCAGAAACTTCTAAAGATTAGTTGGTAGGTTCTTATGCATTCCCCTCATAGACCGGACTGCGAGCCAGGCTTAGTTGAGAGGTCTTTATGCATGCACTGTAAACTCTGGACGTCGCACCAATTGATTACTATCTGTTCCTTTCTATGGCGAATGATTTGGCTGGTAACCTCCTCTGAACCGCTGAATTTTTTGACAAGAGCGAGGAGTGTTCCTATGAGAGAGGCATAGTGACATTGTCTGCCATCATCTATTCTAACTATGGTAAATGAAACCTTTAATATAACTTCTAAGAACTTATATCTTGCGAAATCCAATAAAGATCTTTGTATTCCATATTTTTTCTGATTTATTATGGAATTTCTCATAAAATTGAATTGCTTTTGCTATAATTAAATCAATGTGAGCTCAACACGTGATGCGAATGCCATCAAATACGTTCTCCTCACCTAAACTCGATAAAATGGCCGGTCGTAAAATTATTTTAGACTTCTTTTTTTGCCATCTACAAGTGTACGTGTACACTCACATACTCGTAGGTACTTGCATAAGTAGCTGGCACTCGTCCACATATTTTATCCATTAAAATAATAAATGTACAAAGTTGTGGGCAACGTTTCGAATGTTCCCTTAACGTGCGAACAATTATAAAATTAAATCTTAATACATAGAGGATAATCTACTTTACTGCCGTTAAAAGTTATTTTTCAAAGTCACGCCTAGCGAAAGTAGAGATGCGCGTAGAAGTGCTGTTAATATCGGGACTTCGGTAACTTTTTTGATTATAAAAAAATAAATAATTTTATAAAAAGTATTTGATGTTTGTAATGTGATTGAAATTATACGAGAAGAATACAATTTTTTAAAATATTATTTTTTGCAATATCGGTCTATTTTTTTTAATAATTTCGAACAATGAAATGTTTTCCAATAAAAGTTGTTATTTCGAATAGTTGCAATTTTTAAACATTTCGCAAGTAAAAACTACGCCAGTAATAGAAATGGAACAATACGTATTGAACTTTCTAAAATTTTTTATAAAAAGTGTGAAAATCTGCCAGAGACGGGTGCGTAAAAATAAAAAAAATTTTCATCCGTCGTGAAGCACCTTGTCGGACCGCAATACAGAAATTGGTGAAAAAATGAAGCTCTTGGGGGAAGTAAGTGCTGTGTTGAATAAAACATATGCATGTCGCCGTACCACAGTGCTTAATTAAATACAGGTTTGTACATTCCTTGCATTTCTCTGGAATCAAGCATTCCTCAAACGGTATTTCGCATAAAGATTTGGGTCTTAAAGCTTATAAAGTTGGGTTAACGCAAGAACTCAAGCCGGCCGATCATCAACAACGTCGTGTCTGCGCCGATGAGGCCCTTGAAATGCATGAAAATTACTTGAAGTTTAATCGAAAAATCATTTTTTCTGATGAGGCACTTTTTCACCTCAATAGTTGCGACAATAAGCATACCTGACGCATGTGAGGCTCGTTAAACCACAGATTTATTGTTGGGAAGCCACTCCATACTCAATGTGTAATTGTTTGATGCGGCTTATGGCCATTAGACCTTACTTTTTCGCAAATGAGGTTGCACAAAATATGTCATTTTTCTTTTGAATGACAAAATAACATATCTTATTGGAAACCCCTGTATAATATCAGTTATATAAAAGAATTTCAATATTTAAAATCTCATTCAAGCGGCTTATAACATGCTTAGAGTATTTAACTCTCATAAGATTTAATTTATTTTCAAATAATTTTTGAACAAAATAGCTTAAAATCTAAATCGCAAGATATTAACCTCAAAACGGGATCCCGTTTTTGAGCATTGAGAAAACATAGTATTTTGTCAACCCTAAAGAACATTGCCATGTGAACAATTTTAATGCCATTTTAATATGCGACAGCAACAACGCGAGAATTATTTATTACCTGAAAGTGCAATTTGTTAAATTTTGGTGGCAACTGCTGGGTAACTGTGTGGTGGAAAAATTGGCGAGAAGGATAAACGTTTATGTATATACATATGTATATGAAAGTTAAATATTACCCATATCACTACATGTACATTTGAGACTAAGCAAACTTTGTTGTTCTTATTATTATTATTTTGTTTTTGTTATTATTACATGTGACTAGAATTTTTGCAATTATCTTATTTTTTATTGTTTATGTTGTAATTGAAGTTAATATTAAAATTAATAAGTCTGCTATTATATATATACTATATATATGTTCGAGCGAGAAATTTAGGATATATTAAATCATCGTACATCAAAAAAAAGAACCATAGTAAAGTCTGCGCATTTAAGAGTTTAACTTCCGAGAACTCTGAAAGTAAAACAAAAAAATATATAAAAATCATTCAGTAAGGTCTTAATTCTACTATTATGATAGCTTTTGTTCAGCGTCTTCTAGAGATATCATGTGAAGTCAAGTACCTCCATAGGACCTTCCTACGCTCTGAGACATATATTTTAATTTTTATACAGAGTAATTGTTCGAATTGAGCGACATGACAGTAACTTCAACTCGAACAATACGAATACATATATGTGAATGAGAGAAAATGTGTTTTAGTATGTAAAAAAAAAAAGAGAATAGAAATATGATACCTAGAGCAGAGCTGCATTAATAGTCTAGTTAGGTCAGGTGCAAAGATAGATGAAGCTATCTACGACCTCAATGTTTTGACTGTCAATAATGACGTGGGAATCAAGCTTTAAGTGCAAATAGTCGTTGATGATAGTAGACACTCGAATATCATCTTGCCCTCGCTCCCTACTAGACCCACACGCTTTGCGGTTATCGAAGTCAGTATTGTCAATATCGTCAGCTTCCGCCAGCAGCTATATACTCTTATAGAAAATTGTACTTGCTGTATTCAGCTCTGCAACCAGTAGTTCTTTATGCAGTAGTAAATAAGTCGCACGTTAAGGAATCACGTTTAGTATCGAATGACTCCGAGAGGTCCTTCCCAGCACTGACTTTAGGTGTTGATTTAGGTGTTGCTTAACATCGGTCTACATATCCATATAAGTTTCGTGGAGATACCAAACTCATACATAACGGCGTAGAGGCAGCCTGTTTTAAAATAAACTAACAGATGATGTGTGTCGATCCTATTTTCTCGTGTGTCTTTTAAAATTTTTTGCATTATACATATCTTTTCGACGAGCCTAAAACCACACTGACAAAGTCCAATTAGTCCGTTGGCGTAGGGTCCTAATCTTTCACGCATTATGCTCTATAGAGCCAAGCAATCGATACTAACGAGACTTCTTCCAAAGTAAGTAGTACACATCTTAACCCAAATTTATGGTTGGGATAGTGCACACTAAGGGGGCTACCTTTGGACATGCTTTCGTCTAACTACAAAGAAGCTACATGCAAGTACTTTGCCAGTTTTTTTTTTCTACATATCTGAGTAGCTCTGCAGGTAAGCCATCGGCTATCGTCGCTTCGTTATACCTCAAGCGATAGGTGGTTATTCAAACCTCTTCATAATCGGGTACTCGAAAGTTTCTCTGGGGAATATATATTACCACATTGGTGTCTAAGTAATTATGGTCAGGTCTTGAAATCTTCCGCTCGTTGTTCCATCTTTTCATAAAATTTTCGAGTTCTTCTTTTTCATGCAGTCCGGATTTTTCTTATAACTATTGGCAAAAGCTTTGTATTTGTCATTTCCGCATTCAATAGCTTTCTCATTTCACATATATTGCGGTTGATTGCAATGTTGCAAGGCAGATAATCTGTTTCTTCTATACTTAACTTCGACATTCCTCATCATCTTCCTCCTCATTTGAACTTGCTAGAAATTAACTGTTTCCCTACTAATGGACTGTTGGCAGCTTGGAATGTCGTATATAATGATATTTCAGTTCGTTGAAGAATAGACGTACGGAAAAATGAACCCGTAGCCCAAGATATGTTAAGTTGTGTTAAGTAAATCAGTTGTCTGCACTTTTGCTGATATTTCAAATTAAATAAAATTTCGAAGTAAATTAATTAAATTAAAAAAAAAAAATTATTAAACCCACCCACGCTCCGAAATTTATTTTCTTCATTATATGTTCGTGCCATTGCCAATATAACCCCACCTACTGCAATCTCAGCGCCCAAGTTATGCCACTTAAGCGCGTACATTATGTGTGGCAAGCACAAACAATAAGCGAAAAGTACATAAAAAATCGGAACACTTAAGTCGTCAAATCTTAGTCATTGAAGTCACTCTAGCTATTGTCTTTTCAATTTAGACGCTTTACGGATAACCACTGGCATATTCTCCCCTTACTCATACACACTTACATTTGCAATTTCTTCCATTCGTAGAGTTTAATTGTACGCTTTCTATGACTTCTCCATAATAAACCTTTACCTTACTCATTTCACCATTATCCTGTGATTTCTTTATACCACTTTTTTGTTTGCTTGATTACAACATTCAGAAATATTTGTTCACCCTTTCAAGTATGTACTCTTTGCTCTCTCACTCACTCACTCACTCACTCACTCACTCACTCACTTACTTACTTATCGAGTTATCCTTCTTTTTTTCTTGCAGGACGACCACAACCGAAAGTTACCTGGTGGAGTGGGAACAAAGAGATCGACCAATCATCTCACCCGCTGTCAGATCGGCGAGTCGGCAATATACTGACGTTGGGCAAACTGACACGTGAGAATCTACACATGCAGCTTACCTGTCAAGCGGCCAACAACAATCTGACGATGCCAATTACCAGCACCGTCACACTTGACTTGAATTGTAAGTGATGATATGGTTATATAGAAATATATAAGCACGCACAGAGTAATACAAACATAAACACAGTTGGGTATAAGAGCACGATTACCCAGTATGCACAAATGATTTGGTTTACTTAACTTTCTTGGAACATGATATGGCGACTATAGATCAGCGATAGAATAGTTCATTTTTATGATGCTCAAGTACTCAAGCTGCAGCAAGAAAAAATGCTGAACCTGGATTTAAAAAAATTTCAGTTGCCATTATTAAGGCATTATTGACCCACTTTAAAAATCATTTTTTAATATGTGTTATAAATAAAGTTTTTAAATGTTATTGGTTCAATATTAATGAAATCTACGCGATTGAAAAAGAGTAAAATTTAATGAAAATCTGTTTTCCTTTTTTTTAATAATCTAAGTTTACAAAGTTAGTAAAAAAATGAGATCTAGTGAAGCGGCTCTGGCGTTTGTTTGAAAAATTACATGCGAGAAAGTTAAATTGTGTAAAGATTGGTTAAAAAATACTAAGTATTATTTAAAAATGCGTCATTTCGAGTACAAAATATTTTTTTAAGAATGAAAAATGGCATGCGAGAAAATTATATTTGCTTAAGGAACTGTTCAGATAAATAATTTTTTTATTGCGTGTTTTTATTTAAAGTGCTTGTTTAAGAGTAAGAAATATTTTTTGAGTATGAAAAATTGCATGCGATAAAATTTTATTTGCTCAAGAAACGGTTCAGGTATCAACAGTTTTTTAATGTATTTTTAATATCGAGACTTTGAAATATAGACTAAAAATGAGAAATAGCAAGCCGGTTGTGTCATGAGATTAAAAAATTGCGTGCGAGAAATTTAATTTAGATTTTTATTTTGCGAGAAAGTTTATTTACGTAGAAAAAAAGATGTCTAAAATTGTACTTTTTCGAGTATAGCAACAAATTTAATTCAAAAATAAGCTGTCTCGAGCAATTGTCTAAAATATTATATGTGAACAAATTTATTTTCGTGAAAAGTGGTTCAGTTATTATATATGTCTGTTAAATTCTGTATATACAAATATATTTCCAGGACGAAATTAGCGTACACGCCTTGAAATAAAGAGTGCTCAAATTATTTATATTTTATTAGAAATGCTTTTTTTTTCGAATACCAAAACCAGCATTACATGCGAGCAATTTGTTTAGTGCAATACCAACTAGAATGCAACGAAGTTATTGTGTTTATTGGGTTCATGGAATACACCTACAAATAAGTTGCAAAATGAAACACACACACATTTTTACTTAAGCACAAAATGCTGAGTAATTTTAGAGTTGATACTGTCCTTTTTGTAGACAAACAGCCAGTGGCATATACAAGGACAAGGAAGTCCTACTGTCAGTCACCAGCTGAGATAGACAGGCATACACATGTCATGAGTTTGGGAATTTATATATATACATAAAGATATAGCTTTGTATGCGTATAATGTTGCCTTAGAACACTTGAACTGAGTTGAGCATGACATGACAGTGAGAAGAAAGAATGTCTGAGCTGGGTATGTGTGTGAGTGCCTAAGAATGTTGAGAAAAGTATGAGAAATGTCTAGTGACCATGATTTATTTGATTTTTTCCCCTTAACCACAAACACATATACATACATGTATATGTACAGGCAAGACGTAAGCACGCACACTTATCTATTTCACTTACCTGAGTTCGTGCCAATTTCAGTATAACTTCGCTCTTATGGTCGAAAGCTGTAGGTATGTAAGCATGAGTAAGTGTGTTCAAATGTGTGTTTGTATGTGCTTTAGTGTTTTCGGTCAAGTTGGTTTAAAAATTAAACAAATTTTTCATTCTCATTTTTATTTTTCTATTCAACTTTTTCTCTAGTCTCATAGCTCAACAGGAATTCTTTCGGAAATATCTTTCATACAAAAAAAAAAACATTAAAATTATTGTGTTGTCTTCGTTGTTAAAGTAGAGACTGTTTCACTGACTGTAAAATTAGAGTAAATTTATTATGAAAAAGGAAGTCGCAAATTCTCTGCGGAAATACGTTAAGAAATTCTCTGACAGTAAATTTATTAATTTTTAAAATTTTTGTCAGTTAAAAGTATGGGTATTTTTCAAATGGAAATCTCGGTTATCATATTTAAACGAACATTTTTTGGACACTAATCAAGCAACAATTTTATCACTTTAATTAATTTTATTACAACTTTATTTTATTTAAATAAAAAATAAATAAAAAATTTTATTTTATTTTATTTTATTTTATTTTATTTTATTTTATTTTATTTTATTTTATTTTATTTTATTTTATTTCATTTTATTTTATTTTATTTTATTTTACCTTATTTTATTTTATTTTATTTTATCTTATTTTATTTTATTTTATTTTATTTTTTTTTTGTTTTATTTTATCTTTATTTTATTTAGTCTAGTTTTTTTTGTATTAAAGTTTTTATTTGGAGCTATTAATTTTTTAATTTTTTTCAATTTAATCAATTTAATCATATTGAATTTCATGTCTTTTAATCTACTCTCCTTTACATAGTTTTTCATTTTTTAATAATGTTTTTCGTTATTGTTATGTTTTAATTTAGTTTATATAATTTTATTTTTATTTGATTTAATTTATTTAAGTTCATTTAATTTAAATTTATTTTATTTGTTAATCTTACTGACTTTGCGTTGTATCATCTGTTAATTACCCTAAACTAATTCCACAATCGATCTTCTGTTTTTCTCAAAACTTCCCTGCAATTCAATAAAGAGCCTCACTAACTGACCGGAACTCAAACTTCATGCCACCATTCTGATCTCTGAGACACGTACCCTGGTTTCCATGCTTTTTCTCTTCTTCACATATTGTTTGCCATATGTATGTATGCTTATAATCGTTTGTCTATCGCAAGTATGTTTATTCCAAACCAAGTAGCAGGCAAATATTGCAGCCACAGATGCGGTTACAGTGAAAACCAATATCATCAACAGTACTCGAAAAACAGCGACTCAATTAACTGTCACATTTTAATTACCGCAGAGCTGTGCAAAATATAAAATGTAAAGTAAAACCAAATTAAAACAATAGGAAAATGTACACCAACTAAAGGGTGAAAGCACATGTACAGCTCTGCTTGAAAAGCATACTTCGAGCGTGTGAATACAAAAATTTTAATTTTTCGTAATTTATATTTAGTCTCTTAATTTGCAGCATAATTCAGTATATGCAATATTTTTTTATTCCTTCTTTTTCCGCAGAAACAATACGAAAACATCTGAATATTATTTAATTCTGGGTATTTTTATTTATATACATATGTATGTATTTGTATATGCATTTCATTTGAATATTGGCTGCTGAGAGCATAGACAATTTGTTAAGTCCAGCACTTCAGTCGCGACGATGCGTGAAATGCCACTTTTGTTGGCACTTTGCTCTAAAAATAAACCGCTCGGACACGTTTACATTTTGAAAAGTTTACATACATATATAGAGTGTAAATGTGTATTTACATATCTGTCTGTATTTACTCGTACCAGGCACTCGACATATACGCAGTTGTCAATGCATATTCAAAGTGCCAGCCGCAAATTCATTTTGTGGCAAATGCTGATAAGTGGTTTATACTACTTATTTATTTATTTTTTTCATTTCACATAACTGTACAGCTGTGTGTTTGTGCATGTAATAAATTTACTGCTGATGCATATTTTTTAAATTTCCCACGAAAAAATGTTTATATATCTTATTTAATGAAGCTCATTATTTTTTCTATTTAAATATGTTTAAATGATTTTTATATTTGCAATTCACTTTTTAATATTTCACCTACTAAAACTTTTTTTATATGTTTTTATTTATTAAATGTCTTATTTTATTTTTCTTAATTTTATTTTATTTGATTTTTTTTTACTTATATATTTTTATTTTAAAATTATTTAAATTTATTTTTTTATCTTTTTATCAAATATAATTTTAAGTTTTTTATTTTATTTTATTCTTTTTTAAATTTAATTTTTTTATACTTTTTTATTTAATTTTATTTTTTTAATTAATTTTTTATTTTACTTTCCTTAATTTTATTTGATTTTATTATATTTTATTTAAATTTGTTTAAATTTGTATTTTTTATTTTATTTTTTTAATTTAATTTATTTAATTTTTTATTATTTTGTTCAATTTTATTTTATTTGATTTGATTTGACTATTTTTTATTAAACCAAATTGAATTTAATTTTATTTTGTTTTTAATTTTTTGTTTTATTACAATTTATTCTTTTTTATGAAATTTAATTTAATATTTTTATATTTCATTTATATTTGGTACATCCTATTTTTTTTATTGATTTTGCTTGAAATTATTTGGTTTTATTTTATTTTATTATATTTTATATAAATGTGGTTTATATTGCATTTCATTTATTGAATTTTTTTATATTATTTGATTTAATTTTAAGATATTTTATTTTGTATAATTTTATTTTATTTGATTTTACTTTATTATTTTTTATTAAATTTAATTTAATTAAATTTTTTTTATATAATATTATTTTTTTTTAATTTTTTTTTATTTTACTTTACCTAATTTTATTTTACTTTTTTATGTTCTATTTATATTTGGCTTATCCTCTTTTATATTTTGTTTTGTTTTATTTTAATTTATTTGCTCTAATTTATTTTATTTTACTTTATATCTTTTAATTTTATTTTGTTAAATTATGTTTGTTTTTATTTCATTTAATTTTTTATACTTTTAATTGTTTTATTTATTTTTTTAGTTATGTTTTTTTGTTATCTAATTTGGTTTAATTTTGTTTTCTTTATTTTTATTTATTTTATTTGTTTTTATGTTATTTAATTCATAGTAATTTTATTATTCTTTATATTATTTTCTTTAATTTAATATTTTTTTAAGATTCATTTAATTTAATTTCGCTTAAGTTTTAGTATTTTATGTTTTCATTTGATCCTTCAAAAATAGTAATTTCTCTTTAGTGGTTTTCTACCTCTAAAATACCATAAATACAATTAAAAAGGAAATAAAATCATAATGCAATTAAGGTTAATTGTACGCACCGAATAAAGTGCGACGGTATCAACTGCAAGGATATTATTTATATTAATGTGAGGGGAAAAAAGATAATACAAATAATTGTCACTTCATATTCTTAGTAGTGCTTTTATTATTATTATATAAGCAAACGTTTTTATTCCCTTTTTTATATTTTTATTTAATTTTTTTCATAAATAAGAATTGTTTGCAATTTATTTGTCACTCAATTTGAGTATTGCACACTTTCAAGTTGTTTTTGTAAGTAGATCATTTCAAGCGCACACTTCAAATGACAGGAGACGGAAACATTATAGACATAGACATACATACTCGTACGTATTCACCAAATACAATACTTATCAGCGACTAAGTACAAGGTGTAAGCGACAATCGCAATAATGTTTACGCTAGACTCTTTGACGGCATTAATTTTCCGTCATAATGCCAGACATCATAGCAACAATCACAACAACGCAGTGACCTCGTAATGGGGATGTGCGAACATTTTTGCAGTGGTTATGTTTAGAAAATATATTCTAGAAAAGTAAAATGTATTTAATTGGATTTATTTATATATTCATTTATTCTGTGTTTGATTCTACATTAACGAAAAGACAATTCCTATTTAATTATTTTTTTAGGAATCAATTTTTATATTTATATGATTGCTTAATATATATATATATATATTTTATTTTAATATATATATATATTTTATTTTAATATATATATATATATATATCCTTTAAATAAGAGAAATTAGAGTTAAACCCTAACTTTATAAACCTTTATTTCTCCCAACACACCTAAATGTAGGCAAAGTTTTTGGTTCTCTCAAGTTGTAAAAATTATTGCATTTAGACACTGGCCTTTTGAAGGGCACAATACTGAACCAGAAAAAAGTATTGAATTTGATTGAAACTAAATACCATTTTTAGATATTATGGTCACTATGATAGCTTAATATATCTTTTGGCCATTGCTCGTCTAACAACCACTGTTTATATCATTCCTTGTCCCTCAATACTGTCAATGGTAAGCAATCAAAAAAAAAAAAAATTGTCAAAGAACTGTGACCAGCAGCAGTTAAAGCGACAGAAACGTCATCATTCCATCCTATGTTTAAATTGAATGTTTCTGTTATGGTATGGTATGGATATATTTCAGCATATTTTTTTTAACTTTTTCGCTTTTTATTGCAGCATGAAATTATTTTGTTGCGACGCGTTGGCGCGTAGCTCTCTTTTATTGACATAATTATTATTTGTGATTGTCTTGTTACTGCTCGCACCCAGACTCAGTTCACACGCAGCCTGACTGACTGGTCACTACTTCCGGTTTTGTTGTTGCAGCCGCATTACACTCACTTTCGTTATAAAAACACATCAGCATATATTTGAAATACACACATACATACAATTAAGTTAAAGCTGATATTAAAGTATTCACAGTTTTTATATAACCTAATATATTTTTTATTACTTTCTCTGCTCTCTGCAGTACGCCCGTTGATTGTAAAATTGGATGGCGAAAATCGGCCTTTGTCGGCTGATCATTCGTATCAGCTACATTGTAATGTTATCGGCTCACGTCCAGCGCCGACGATTACTTGGTGGAAAGGCAGCACGCCGATGAAGAATACACATGAAGTGGTGAGTATTGAAAAACGAATACATTTCTCTTTTTTTTAAAGCAGTAAGAAATAAAATAGAATTATTTGAAATAAAACGCTAAAAAAATTAAATAAAAAGGAATAAGAAAATGAAACAATAAAAAATAAAATAAAACAAACTAAAGTTAAATAGCTTCAAATAAAATAAAATGAAAAAATAAAAAGGGCGTAAAATGAGATGAAATAAAGGTGAATGAAAAAAAATATTATAATATAATATCAAATGAAATAAAATAAAGTAAAATAAAAGAAATAAAATAAAATTAACTAAAATATAATAAAATAAAATTAACTAAAATATAATAAAATAAAATAAAATAAAATAAAATAAAATAAAATAAAATAAAATAAAATAAAATAAAATAAAATAAAATAAAATAAAATAAAATAAAATAAAATAAAAAAAATTAAATAAAATAAAATAAAATAAATTTAAAAAAAAATTATATAAAAAAATAAAATGAAATAAAATAGTATAAAATAAAATGAAATGAAGTAAAAGGAACAAAAATAAAAAAAAATTACTTAAATGAAATTAAATGATGTAAAAAAATTAAAAAAAAAGTAATTAAAAAAATAAAGTTAAATTAAATAAAGTTAAAAAAAAAAATAAAATGTCATGAAATAAAAAAAAATTAAAGTTAAAGTATGAATTCAAATAAAGTTAAATGTAATAAAATATATTAAAAAATACTAATAAATGAAATTAAAATAAAAAAATGTAAGTAAAATATAATAAAATAAAATCGAATGCAAAATAAAAAAAAATAATAATTAATAAATAAATATTAAATTAAATAAAACAAAGTGAAATTAGTAAATAGCTAATAATATTTTGGGATTTCCTGTTCATGAGCCATGCATAAATATTAAAAGCGTTGAAGTCAAGTATACCACGCTCTCCATCATAGCTAGAAGAAAGTGCTGTGTAAAAGAGCAAAAAAATTTACTAAAAATCATTCAAACAGCTCCGGATTCATATCATATTTTCTTCGGTATTTTCTCTTTTCTCTGGTTGCAACGCTAACTCAGCCCCATTCTGCCAATATACGCATACATGATTTGAATTTTGCCAAGAGCGTTGCCATCATTTGCATTTTCTAATATGTTCTTTAAAATTTCATAGAGAATAGACTACCCGAGAAAATAGTCTAAAAGGTAATCGATAGCAAAATAGTGAACAGCGGGCGGGGCAGTGTACACAGTTCGAGATTGAACTTTTGCGATTTATTACGACATTTTTTTATGTATATACGCTTTATGTCTGTCGTTTAGTGCAACGTTACCAACACTCTCGTCGCTTAAACTCCTAGCATAAAAGAGTAGCTGTCATTTTCAGGGATTTTTTTTATTATTTTTGTCGACAGAAGTTCGTGTTGCATATCGAAGTTATCATTTTTGAACGAAATTCCTTGCAGTGAGAGCTTTCTGTATGCGCAGTACGTACTTAGATCGGTTAATATGTGTGCATATCTACATATGCATTCGACATTTTTTTATTTTCATTTGTTTTTGTTCTCTATTGTGTCATCATAAATGCAAATACTTCACTTCAAAACTTTTTTTTTCGTTTTCTTTTTTTTCATCGAATTTTCCCTTGTCACCGTCATCGTCATGACATTGACATTTATTGTACTTTTTTGGAAAACATTGCATATAAATAAAGGAAGAATTTTTTTTATGTACTTCTGTTTTTAACCCCACTTTACTAAACATTTTGCTGGCAATCAAATTTTTACTGTTAGTTCATCTAAGTTACATATGCATATGAGCAAATCTTCTCCGATTTTCTGTGCACCCGAAATTATGCTACATATCTTATGTGACTTGGATTTTATTCTAATTTTTCGCCATCAACATACTCATCAGCATAATTCTCAAACGTTTACCCATTGCATTTTTACTTATTCCATTTCCTGTTCTTTCTCTTTTCCACTAATTTTTTTCTTTTTTTTCTTTTGTACTCTTTATCATTTCAGGCAAATCCGGATGGTAATATGACAACGTCAATATTGACTTTTACGCCAACCATTGACGATCGTGGCAAATTCCTGTCATGTCGTGCCGAACAGAGTATGATACCGGAATCGGGAATGGAGGACGGTTGGAAATTGGATATTTACCGTAAGTTTATTATTGATTGCCCAGCTGCAAATATGCTTAAATGCAATGTAACTGTCAGAAACAGCAAGGAGAAACAGTTTTAGAATGAGGGTGAGAGAAAGAGAGAGAGAGAGGAGGGGGGAGTATGGCGTGTTAGTATTGGTTATATGTAGTTATGTAAATCACAACTCGCAAGAGTAACTCCAATTTGCAAGCAAAGGAAACAGCAGAATATTGCTGTCACAGCAAATCAGTGAAGTTTTTTATTTCTCTGCGAAAATAGTTAGTTGCACAAACGCTTACACACAATAAACATTTTTTCTACCCAACTATAAGGTATAAGTTTTCGTTGTTGCAGATGCTGTGGTGTATACATACACAAGTACAACCATATGTACGATTATATATCTACAAGTTGGTTGCTTGCGTTTATTCAATTTCTGCAGGATTTAGCGTTATTCTATGTAGTCACTTGTGGTGTATAGTGCAAGGGAATATATATTATATACACATATATACGAGTTTTGCGTTTGCAATAAAATGCATGTTGCATCGTTACCCAGTTCGTATAGTTAAGCTCATTGTAGCGTAGCTGGTAATAAAAGAAATATGTAAAGCAACTTAAAAATATAAACTGAAGTAATTGGCTCTTTATTATGTCAAAATATGCTACTTTTTTAATTTATGATTGTGAAATATCAGAGATTTTAATTTGATTGCTTTTTTAATAAGTGTTTACAAACAGCCAATGCAGGAGAGTCTATAGAAAAATAAAAATACAAAGAATACTTAGCTCGAAAGAAATAATTATTATTTTAAATATTTAAAGTTTTAAACATATTAAAAACTATAAATAGGAAAATGGTATTTTTTCTCATACAAATAGATGTTTTAACTACAGCAGTGGGATGTAGTTAGAGACAAATATTGGTGATATGAATAAAATGGATGTTGTAAATAAATGAAAACCGGAGATGCTCAACTAATGAAAGTTTTGTTTAGTGAAAAATGAACTTAACAAAATGATTTTATTTCGTTTTATGTTTTATGTTATTGAAATCGCACAATCTCAGCGTAAAAATTAGTTTTAAAATGGCTGCTTGCTATGATATTAACAGCATACTCCAATTTTAACATTTAACATTGTCTGTTAACAATTAAACATTTCCTGTTAACGTTTGACATTACCTCTTAACGTTTAACATTGCCTGTTAACGTTTAACATTATCTGTTAACGATTTAACATTATCTGTTAACGTTTAACATTATCTGTTAACGACCTTATACGGTCTGTTAACGTTTAACACAATTTGTTAACGATTTAACATTGTCTGTTAACGTTTACCATTATCTGCTAACGATTTAACTTTGTCTGTTAACAAAATACAAAATACAGCCAGATCCTTCTCTACTTGGCCCTTCCAATGGAGTGGAGGTCTTCCTCTTCCATTGCTTCTACCGACGGGTACTGCATCGAAAACTGAAAACTTTCAAAGCTGGAGTATTCGCATACTTCCGTACCACATGACCTAGCCAGCGTAGCCGCTGCTTCTTGATTCGTTGAACTAGGTCTATGCTTCCGTATAACTCGTACAACTCATCATTGCATCCGATGTGATATTCGCCGCTGCCAATGCGCAACGGACCATGAATCCTACACAAAACCTTTTTCTTGAAAACTCCTAACGCATACTCATCAGATGTTGACATCATTCATGCCTCCACAACATATAGCAGGATGGAAATGTTAAGAAGTTGAAGAGTTTGGTTTTCATTCGTCGGGACAGGACTTTACTTTTCAATCTCCTACTCAGTCCAAAGTAGCAAGAGTGATTCTGCGTTGGATCTCAAAACTGCCATTATTATTAGTGTTTATGATGGTTCCTAGATAGACGAAATTATCTACGACTTTAAAGTTATGACTGTGAACATTGACGCCGGAGCCAAGTCGCGAATGCGATGACTGTTTGTGTGATGACAGGAGATATTTCGTCTTGCCCTCGTTCACTACCAGACCCATATCCTTGGTTTCCCAATCCAGTCTGGATAAGGCAGAACTCACGGTGAGGTACTTTCTGTAGAATGTACCTTCTCTATTCAGCTCTGCAGCTCGCATTATTTTCTCCCGAGACTTTTTAATTTTTTTACCCTTTTTTACAATTCATAAATTTAGTTTATAAATTTTTTTTAAATAACAAATAATATTTTTGGTTGTAGTACCAACCATAGCGAGAAATTTTTGGAGCAAAATGGCGTTTGGGTTCTAAATAATATGTCACCAAGTCGAAAAACCGTGGTTTCGGGAAAAAGGCGGTAAGAGTTCTCTTGTGGGATTTATCCCTTGGAGCCTCTTCTATACTTACTTCTTGGTCTTGCGAACCTATGGGACTAAATCCATATTGTTTCTAAAACAATTTGCTAGCATTTGAAGGAAATAAATTAGATATTTTGCAAATAGCTGTTAAACATGTAATTATGACTTGAGAAATATATTTCAATTTTAATATGTAAAATCGATTACCAAGAATATCCGTAATTTCTGATGCGTAAAGTAAGCGAAGTATTTACGCTTATTTGAGCATATTTGTTATAAGTATTTATCAGGTGCATATCTATTTTGGTGATTACCACAATTTTGCAATAAGTTCGACATTGAAATTGAATCACCTGCTAAAGCCTTACGAATATTAATTGCTTTCGTCGAAGCTTTCAATTTTAAAACAGTTTATTTATTAAGCATGCCTTCTCATGTATTTATTTTGAGTCGCATACAGATGTTGACTTTCAAATATTCTGAGGTATTTGTATTTGTCTGTGTCTGCCACATTTCCTTTGATAAAAATAAAGTACAAAGGCTTAACTCTTCACCGGCCCTCCTACGCCGAACTTATTTAATTTGACACTTTCAAACCTTATCTTTACTGGCTTTTGCCGACGACAACAATGGCAACAAAAACGATATTCACCTCAACGACTTTTTCATCCCATAAACAAATAATATTTGATAGCCTTTGGCCTTTGCATGCTGCCAAGAGTCGCCGATTTTCGCGTTTTTATTCAATAAATGTCTAAGGTAAAACGTAGTGTTTGGCGCCCAAATACCAACAATGCCATCTTTAATTCCGAATTGTAAACTCACTACGTTTGCCATATTATGCCAACTTCTTGCCTTTTCTTTTTCACACTTTTCGCTGGCATCAAAGTAGCGTGAGGCCGAGTAATGTCGACAGCTCTGTGTGTGCAGCTCGCAGTTGTAGCAGATAAATCGTATTTGAAAGCTATAACAGCAGTTACAGTTACAGCTACAGTTTCCCTTTCAGTTTTTATTACTTTTGCCAAACTTACAAAATTTGTAAATTCTGCGCTGTCTTCTTGCTGGTTTTTATACCTCGCACGATAAATTTATGAAACGGTAACAGTCTTAGACAACCACCAAATTGCTGAGTTGTTGCAGGTTTTTTTTAATTCTGATTTTGCTTAACTTCAAATGATTTTTGCCGGGGACTGGAAGAGATGCCCACCTATTAAACGTCGTCCGACCCGCCGTTTGGGCAAACTGCCGAATATCAATTCAATGCTTGATTTCTCCAAGGAAGAGGTTCAAAGGGTCATCGAAAACACGAAAGCCTCCAAATCCATCTGCCCCGACGGAGTAAGCATGCTGATGCTAAAACATCTAGGACCAGCGGGAGCAGACTTCCTCACCAAAAAATCGAAACTCAGGAGGATTAAACAAAAGGCTCCGCAGCGTGGTGTACTCATTACTATTTAAATTCTATATTTCGAAGCTCGCTCCTCTACCAGAAGAGGTTTCGTTGAGCTCATATGCAGATTATCGCTCCATATTGGCATATGCCCACTATATTGATGGTAATTCTTCCAAAGTAAACGGCTACCTCGATGACCTATCCCATTTCTCGACTTCACGCCATTTATAAATATAAAGATCAAATCCTCGGCTAGCTTTTTTTACCCGTTGGATGATGGAATTCAGGCTCAAATTTGATGTGGACAGGCTGAACCTCCACCCAGGCACGTCAGAAAGAGAGTACTCTAGTTGAAAGAACACAATCCTGTAACTCTTGCAACAATCGTTGGACAGAATGCCGTATAGACAGGCAGTAAAAGTCATTGACCAGAAGTCAGTTAACACCTTCAAAGACTTCCTCCCTGTGAATGGCGTCCTCGGAGTCAAATCACCACCCACAGCAGACGAAGAGCTCGAGGAACCCGCGTAATAATGGCGCAACTTAGGTCTGAATATTGTAGCAGCTTAAAAACCTACCTATCAAGACACGACGTCGACAAACCCAACGTCTGTACAGGGCCGTTTTAAAGACCTGGGATTTCTTCCGACACATAATGGCAAATTTTGCACTTGAACTTAAACAAATATTCATATTAACTCCAGCTCACATAACAACGGAAGACTGCTGACCATCTGACCATCTGACCATGAATCTAAAAATATAAATTTTATTTTGTATAAAATGTAATTTTATAACTAAGATTAAAAGAGCCTTCTTTCATAAAAGGTATACATCCATCGACTAAGCTGAAGACAGGTATTTTCTTATTTTTTTTTACTATTTTCTTGCCTTGTATTCCATTTGCACATTTGCAATATTTTAGCACTTTCAATGTATATATATATATATACACAAATCTATATGTATATACATATTTAATTTCTATTTTTTGGCAGACAAGCGCAAGTTAGCACAAGTATAAACACAAAGCAACAAACAATTTGAGTAGCTTTAATAGCATTTGGCGCACGGCTGTGCGGTGTATTGAATTAAATGTTACGTATACGACACACCTGTCCGCCCGCCTGCCTGTTTGCTGCCTGCCTTGCTATCAAAGTAAGGTGTCTGCCAAATGGCAGAGACCGCGTAGTACTCGCTTGCGGCAGCGCTGAATCAACTCCTTTGTCGGGTTATACGCTTCGTTGGCTACTTGAATTGCGCTTATTTGGCAGACTAGCGTGAGTTATATATGAAATAAGGGAGGAACGAATA